CTGGACAACTTTAAGATATTTTAAGAACAGAAAGGAGCGCTCTGAGCGGCGCGTTTTTGCATTGTTTCATTTTGTTTGTATTTTGTTTCTATATTTGTATTGCGTTTCTATTGATTTTTGTGCCACTGAAAGAATACTATTCTGCCTCAACCCCCCCCCTCCCCCAAAGGCAATTTCCAAAATTCCAATTTTCCAAAATTCCAATTTTCCAAAATTCCAATTTTCCAAAAAAACCAAAGAAACCAAAAAAAACAAAAAAACCAATTGTGCCAGGACTTTGCCTCACCCCCTCTTCCCCCCATGGTCTGTGCAGAATTGTTTTTTTTTGTTTTTTTGGTTTCTTTGGTTTTTTTGGAAAATTGGAATTTTGGAAAATTGGAATTTTGGAAAATAGGAATTTTGGATTTTTTGATTTCCTGGGATGTTTTAAATTTTCAATTTCCTTGGAAGTAGACAATACTACCACTTTCTCTCAATTCCAGAACAGTCTCTGAAACCCTCAGTGATTTGTTCATTAGGGTCTAATAATGCTCCTTCTGCTCCTTTAACTCGAAAATTGGTAATACCTGACATTTTAGAATTATAACCAGTAAAATTGACATCTGCATTTTTTTTTCAAATGACATACCAATAATGAATTTGTTCTTTCTGTATTGACGATACGAAAAACTTAAACTGTCATGTACTGTATAGCTCTTCTTAAATAGTAAAATATTTATGATAATAATTGCGCTTCAAATTCTGTGTATTTCTGGGAATTGCTTAATTGAATTTGCCAACTTAAACTACGGGTGGCATCTTGAAAACCTTTGTACCTTGTAAGTCATTTGTATCAGCATTACCAGTATCATTAATTCTTCCATAGATCATAGGATTAATTCCGTCTCTTATATACATAATTGTCAGGTAAGTATCGGTTCAGTTCTTCACCACTCCTTGGAGTTCTAAAATGCTCCAGTCAGTTCAGAAGATGATTTTACAATATTCATATTAATTTCACCACCACCAGCATTGAATGTTTGGGTGATTGTGTGATAACAATTTGTAATGTTTCTTATCTTTGCCATTCCGCCCCCTTCTATGTCCTGCCATTCTAACACTCAATGGCTGACAAGTAGCACCAATATAGACATCGTCATTTTGTCATTTAGTATTCTGTAAAATTTTGCCTTGGAGTAATCCACCATAACATTACATATTTTAACTAAGTTTAAATGTTTTTTTTAAATGAGTGATTGGGGTTAAATCCATTGCTTATATTGGTGCCGGGATTGATGTTCCAAAGGCCGTTCCCTTCAAAATTGATATAGCTGTGGCTCATTATAAAGGGTTAGGTTCTTTCAAATCAGAAGTTACAGCGTAACCATCCAACATTGAAACAATATCGGATGGATTGCGGTAGTCAAGTCTTTTGGGACTTTTGTTCCTTTCCTTTTTGTTTCTATTGTAGGGGTAGCATAGGTTGTTGTAGCAAATGTATTAGGTTGTTCTTGATTGATCTTATTACAGCACTTGCAAGGTTATGCCCAACCAAACGGGTTATTTCTGGTGACTTTTCCAATTCTTCTATAACATGTTTGTATTTCTCACTGTGATGAACATTTCTAGTAGGTACTAATAACAGATCATCCATAATATCCCTTGTTCAAGATCCATCACAACCACCTGTGCCACTTATGTATAAAGTCTTACTTGTTTTGTAAAAAGCACTTGGTGATGAATAGGCATTCCATAAGCCCCTGCGGTCTTCTATCTTCTCCTTGTTTGCTATATTTTTCTCTTCAGCATATAGTGTTCTATGTTGTTTAAAGTGATCATTTAAGTTTCTTGTAAAGTCATTCATTCTATCATTCCAATTTTTGTTCTTTTTTTTTCATAATCACTGTAGGTTTCTTGACCGATCTTACTGAATAACATCTGGGCGCTTCCAGGCAGATCCTTCCAGGCAATGTCAGACACATCAATCATTCTCAAGAAAACGCATGAAAAAGGTTGAAAAATGCTCATTTTCATCGAAAAACGCGCCGCTCACAGCGCTCCCCTCTCTTTAAGAATTGCAACTCTGTAGCAGCATGAATGACGAGCAGTCATGCGGTAATCATTGCTCGTGACGTGAGCAAGAACCCTGTACGAGTACTTTGAGTGGTTTCCACCGGCGAGGCGGTTTGGAAAACATTATGCACTGACAAACTGTTTTGACAAAGGACCTGACACCGTAGTCTGACATGTGTTGTGTGAGAATGTACAGTATTCGCTTCTGATATACGTTCTGACATTGGGAGACCGACTTACACAAATCCTTGGGAGGTCCAACACACTCACGGAGACCGATGAGCAAAGCGCAAAGGAAGGAAGGAGAAGAGGGGGGAAGAGGCATAACATCTAGAGAGGATCACCTGACGGGTGGGGAAACAAAACGACATTGGTTTCAATGTTAATGTGGGTCATGCCGAAACTTGGAACACATCGGCTACGCCTCCTACATCAACATCCCTGCAACCGCCCTCATTCTCTCCTCCCGCATTGCGCCAACACGGACAAGAGCTAACGCAAACAACGACCACATGGCTTCGGCGGAAACAATGGGTATCTATCCACGCTTGAGACAGGATGATGCGATGTTGTGACCTCAAAGATCTCAAACCAAGAGCAGTAGCCATTGGTTTGAGATGAAAATCTGGCAATGTCATGACATTCTGGTCAAACCACATAACATTCAATGGCCGGTGACGTTTGTCACTCGGCTTGACGATTGCTCTCCACGTCTAACATATTCTAGCGTTCTTTCACACGCAGCACCACCAGACCTCCTGCCAACATCAATCGCAGCTCACACAACCAACTGAGACAGCATCTCCTCTGGGGAGGTCTGAGTTTAGGTCTGACTCAAAAGTAAGCACCAACCAACCACTACCACCACCAACTTAATTCTTCCCAAATCATCAAAACTATCTTGGGTATTTTCGAGAAACCTTATTACACCCTAGGCCCTAGACTGGTCAAAGAAAGCATCAGCATGATAGACTCATCTGTCATTGCCTTCACGTTCGCTCCATTTCTTCATTTCTCCAGCTGCCAGGTGCTTTTTCCGGGCGAGCACCCACCAAGCGCGCTCACTGCAGGGCTCGCAAATCAGTATCGACGTATCTGGAGCAAGCTTCAGAGTGAAGGTGGAAGAGTTTGACAACCGAGCAAGGAAGTGTGATGATGTTGCTCATGATGGCGCTGATGAGGATATGTTTCCTTGTGCACATTGTGGGTACACATACTGTAGGTTCATGGATCCCGACACATGAAGTGCTGCTCAGTTGCAAAACACCCTCTACAAAGAATATACAGTAATGTTTGATCGATACTCTCTCCTCAGTATCAGCTGCATTTGTTCCACATATTTGGACAAACATTGACTCTTACTAGTTACTCAAGGACTCCTAGCCGCTAGCCCTTTCTACTTGGGAAAGTCGGAGGAAAAATTGTGTTCAGAAGGCTCGGATGATGTTGCCTTGAACATCTTTCTTGATCAGCTGTTTTGGAAATTTAGATGATCACCCGCTTCAAATCCTGACTATAATAATATGTTGTAGACTTTCTATCTGATACCAAAAACGTGTGTATATGAGTATTTCAGTATAATATATATTACAAAGACGTATCAAGTATCATATATATATATAATAGTAATATATACAGTAGTATAATATATCGCTCTTAGCCTCTCTTCTGATTTTATGCCATGATCCAACCGCAAAAAAATCAAACAGCAATCCCAGCGGTGATCGAAGCCCGAGAGATCCGGACCGATCCGGTCGCGTCGGCCTGAGTTGACCCGTGGCATCTTTGAAGTAGAACGCCTGGCGCCCGGAGTTTCTCTGAGTACACGATGTGATGGTAGGGGCCGGACTTGGCCTTTGTTTTGGGGTCTATCAGCGATGCCTTCAAACCCATTCGGTCTCAAACAGGGAGAGCTTCCTAACAAGACCCCCCACTCTCTTCGCATCTGGGACTCACAGTGATGCTGGGTGATCGGTCTGCGATCAAGCGAAGCCTCGCGTTCCTTTCCAACAAACGAACAGTGATCAGTCCTGTATGTGGGATCCCACTGGTCATTGTTAGTAATGCATGGTGGAATGTGTATGGTGTTGATGAGGCATAAAGTCAATTAAAGTCAGCTCATGTCAGCTTTTATATCATGAACCAAGTCATGAGCGCTCCATAACCAAGTTCTGTCCGCAGTCAAAGGGGTTCTCGAGGATCCCAGCAAACCGCGCAGGACTTCGCAGGACTTCGTGGCCTTGGTGGAGGTCCTGGACTTTCGCCTTCGCCGCCGCAATATCCTGCCGCCCGGATCGCTGGTTTGCCCCAAGCGAGAACCCGGATCGGTGATGCTTGGACTCTCAAGGTTTGGGCACCAGACGTTGCCATGTTTGGCACCCCCCAAAAGTTGCCAAACTAGGGTTTGGGTGCGTAGTGAACTCCGGGTGTTGGACGGACCCAATTGGCAAAGCACACTTCAGCAAATTCCTTGGAAGTCTTGTGGCGGGTCTGAACATATGAGGATTATATAATTGGGTTGCATAACAAATACTAATGAGTTAGGATGCATTGCTCCCCAAAAAGTATACAAATAGAACTACAAATAGATTATCCAGGTTTGATTGAAGTGCATGATTAGTTATATTTTATAATGAGTAAAATGCCAACAGGCACTTTGATCTCAAAAGCACATCTGCATGAACGGGCACACGCTCTCATCTGCGGTCCTATATTCTGTAGTCACATCAACTAATTGACTTCTTAGATTCTTGTATGGAACAGTGTTTCTATACACTCTGTCATGGTGCTAGTTGGGAAGGAGAGCTCAGGCTTTCAAGTGGGCGGTCTTTTGATGCGAAGCACGAGTGGCGGTCTTTCTCTTCCAGATTGGAGGCGAGAAACACCGTAATTTATTCATTCTTGACTTAATTGATTAAAGATGGTGATGAAGTCATTGACCAATCAATTCATTGTATCTGCCAGGATTCTCCTTGACTTAATTGACTCTCTGACTCGAGTCTCTTCGATTCTTCACATGTTCCAAGACTCCACTCGACTCCTTCGGATTCCACGGAAGGCATCCTGGCAAAGGCAAAGGCATGCACCGCACGGTCCGGCATGTACCAACGGATGTCGAAGATGGTGTGTAGTTCTGGTGATGTTCCATGTTTGCCATGTAACCAATCTTGCCAGGCCAAGTCATCATTAGAAACATGACTGGATACGTTGATACTCTGCACTTTAATGTCATTGAATCGGGCCTGATCTATTGTATTACAAAGGAACAAGTTTGCTGCTGATGGAATACATTGCAGTTGCACACCTGCTCTTACTCTACCAGTCGCACAAACTATGCCAGAAGATGTCGGATGACAAAAAAAGCATTCTTGCAGCAACAACGATCCTTTTCTGCAAACCTCTGTGTGATCTCGGTGTGTCCATGCCGACCTCCGCTCTGAACTGTGTCCCATTTTTTCGGAACAGTGCCTGACCCATGCCCTCCGGACACACTCCATGCTGACGCTGGAGATGCGAACGCACGTCCAGTTTCTGCAGGCCGGTGAGCGGTGGTCGAACCGCGGCCATTCTGCGGTATGAGGGACTTGATGAGAGATGAACTTGATGAGGGGACACCAAACCATCCTTAGAAGGGAAGGATCTACCTTTGACTCAGTAGATGGATACGGACTCATGGTTGTTGACTCTGTACTTTCTATCATCATCATGTTCAAGGTTGTATTTGTGGGCTGCTAGAAGATTGATATAGTTTTTGTTGAACTTGCCTGATATGTACTCTGCTGCATATCAAGGGGTCATAGTGGGACTTCAGAACAAACCCAAGATCCTCAAGGCCATAGCTTGTCCCGCCGGACGCTCTCCACACGTCTGTCTGCACTGCACGTGTCGCTTTTTTGGCTCTCGTCCCTTCGCCGGGAGGACCATCTCCTTTGGAGAGGAGCCGGAGAGGCCCAGCCTGAGGAGTTGGAGAAGATCCAGAAGAGCAGTGTTGGAGTATGTTGCAGTGTGTCCATCTCACTCTTGGCTCTAGGATCTTCTGGGTATCTAGTTGTATCCAGAGTCGTTGTTTCATGTTGTCCGAAAGTTCTTTCACTCGGCCTTTCTGGCTCTATTGCTGGGGATTTCGGTTGATGTTCATTGAACGCCACTCTGAGATCCACCGGCAACATCTAGACACTCTGAGGATTTCTGTCTGACTCTTCTCCTCTACCACATATGGAAATAGCAAGTAATAGCAAGTATTTTCCGTAGCTCTCAGAAGGTGACTTCGGAACAAATCAGGTTCTGCATGGTCCTTCAAACCAAACCGGTAAGTGAAGTGGTATCGAAAAACAACTGCGTTTTCGCCAGATGATTTCAAACCCTGGGCCCTATAGAATAAGTTTAGGGATTGAACACGATAGAAAAACAAACTACCATATTCCAGAGTGGATTTGTGTATATATACTTGGTGGGTTTTTCCACCAGAACGAAAATTATTTATCCACTGTCCG